AATCATGGATATGTGAGTTTTCAGCATAAGACACTCAAAACCTTTCCGGCTCACAGTCATACATACTTTACAAAGTATTCACAAGACCTGTATCAACTACATGAGCGTGAACTGCAGAATTTCTGTGTTGGTGCTGTGGCACCACTACTGCTGCCTCCATGCAAGGCAGCAACACTGTTCTGAGAAGACATCTGTGCATCAATAATGTTCACAGCAGCGCTTTATACCCCCAAGACATGGAATGCACCTCTCTTGACAGATTGCTTGCCAGCTACTTGCGTAACCATTTATATAATGGATGATGATAATGCCTTTGGAAAATAATTCATTGTGGGTTCAATTTGCGTTTGGCATTTGTGTTATACATCTGTGTTGAAAACATGTCACCAAATGATTTAGTGATATGTGCGTTATGTTAAGTCCATCCACACTAATCTCCAATTCCTGATCCGCGTATGGCTTCCACCTTGCCCACTACATCCCGCCCTCGCCAAACTGGTCCCCGTGAACCAATCTAGCAGCTGAAGTGTTTTCGTAGGCATCTCCTAGATGGTCTGTTGTTTTATGCCGCACTCAAAACTATTCAAACTATACGAAGGTTGTCTGTAAATAATCGAGTCTGGACCCGACAATCTAGTGATTGACATCGTGAGCATCGATCTACACAAATCGTGTACTGTGGCATGGATCGCCCACGTCATCGAGTCTGACAACCAGGTACCGTTAGTCGCTACCTACGGCAACTGTTGAAGATTAATTCTGACCCGGATCTTGACGGGTTAAGTGTTTTTGTGGGCAGGTTTTAGTAGATTGTGGCCGTGTGTAACACGTGGCTGGAGGTGAATAACACCGTGAGGACATTTGTTGTTCGCGAACTGGCAGGTGTGCAAGTGACATATAGGGGAATTGACATGGCGGCAAACTGTCATGTAAGCGATACAACGGGCGAGTAAACGATCGGACAAGTCATCAATGTAGCCTCAAGATGATAGAGGGCGAATTAACGGAAACAACGCTTGTTTCTAGGTTATGAGGAGCGATATATCTCGTCATGAAAATGTCACCCAACCCTTGGTTATGTTAACAGGACTCATTGATCCCAGTGTAACCCACACATTGCCCAAGGCTAAAGCCTGGTTAGGACTGTGTTTGATCTAATTGATCTGTGTGATAGACTTTCCTCAATACACTCCTCATCGAGATCCAATGGATTCCCAATACGTGAGCTCCTCACAGTGTTTAGCAAGATGAGATTGATGTGGTTAGCCGAGTCCAGACACATGCCCTTGGGCTGTGTGGAGCTCTTTACAGGCCGGAAATCTTTCGTGCCTGATTATTACCAAGTTGTTGAGTGTGGGGGACGCACAAGGTCGACATTGAAGCTCTTGGTTTCCCCATTGCCTCCATTGTAATTGGTCAGTATGAGATGCCAGGTCTGTACGGGGCCTGGCTGCCACTAGGCTGTATATAGCTCTCACTGGGGAATCATTGTGAAACATGCCAAAGGAACTATACTCCCCACAGTGGCGCGGACCCATCAAGCGACATAATTGCTTAACAGTCCACGTAGTAAACACGAGTCTCAGATTGATGGTGACCCGATCAATGCTGGTGCGTGGTCGATGCAATAGGCAGATGGCAATCATATCAAAACACAAAGAATGTCAAACAAATCGAAATTAATGTGACTGCAGTATTACAAAGTTATATTACGTTCGATAAAACACGCTGACCTACAACAGATGCGTTTCATATTGTCTTCAGGATATATTCTCAACTGTGTGGAGAACTCAAATAAATGGTCATGTTTACCGGGTTTGGCGCTGGTCTTGGTTTATCAACACCGTACCTGACCTGTGAGTCACTCACTCACTCACTCACTCACTCATATGATGATTGTATACCGCCTCATCAGGAACGTGCAGGTAATAGCGACAAATCATCTTCAGGAATTTTCTCACTGGGGAATGAAGGACAAGAGCGTATCAGTACGCTGAAAGGAGGCCTGTCTTACGAACTCGGACACACTCCATTATTGTGTGAAAGCAAGGCGTCACTTGACTTGGGGAAAGAGCTTCCTGGAAATCCCCGAGGGATAAGGAGGGCCACGCTTCCGGATATAGCCCAGATCAGCTGACACTTCTTTAAGAAGCGCCGGAAGTGACGATAACATCTCGATTCAGTATCCTGACATTTCCAGGCTGTTTCTCTATTGATGGCCCGTTTCTGATTTTAGACTTTGTGCAAGGAAAATAGATTGGGCGGGGAATAAGCGGCCATGAGCAAGTCAGGTCGGAAAGAGTAAGGGCCGTGGGAGGGTTTAAAGGAACTCCACCGCAGGTTATAGTTAAAAAAGGACGTGTCGAGATTTCCGCTGAATATTATTAGCTCTGATTCAAATAGAACGTCTTTATAGCTGCGGCTGTCAGCCTAATTAAGTCCAAGATAGTTGACACCACCTCTGTGCAGCAGACATGAGAAAGTTAATACGTTTCGTTTACGTACATTTCACACAGTCCGTGGTAAAAATATGACATTAACGCTACTTTGTTGTAATGTTACATCGTAGGGGATCACTTTGATCCCGGTAGTCAAATAAAGGCGACTGGATAGCCTGGTGGTTTGAGCTCTACCCCACGTGGAAACTGTCTGATTCACCACATCTGTATAACGGGTTTCTCATAATATCAATCACTAGGCTGTCTGGTTTAACCTATACTCATGCCAATAATGGTTGTCACCCCTTCAAGTTATTATATTGGAGGGGGGGGGTTGACAACCATTATTGGCATGAGTATATATTATTTATAGACCACGTCATAAAGTTATCATATTGCTGAACGCGGCATTAAACAACAAAACTAAGACCTCCCCATAAACACGTTTACAAACTGTTATGTGGTGTCGATGTGGAGCTCACACTGTTCCCATGTCTGGCATCGAACCAGTGTCTTCGACGAGATGAGCGAACACTTCAGCAACTACGCCAACTAACCCCCCCTGGTCATTTTTGTACTTTTTTTATATTTTCGGTGTAGGTCTGGTGTTGTTAGGGTCTGATGAGGGTAATCGTCAACAAAAGGCACATTTTTAGACATTTTACTTTGTGTGTGAACAGTGCGTCATCACGGGGCGCCAGTTTAATGTAAAGGGAAGGCTGAAGTGATGGGTCTCTGAGTTTGGGTTAATGCTTTATCTTGCTGACAAACCATAGTCATCTGTTCTTGTAAAGGAACGCAATTGTGCAGAGTGTATGGGCCATCCGTAAACCTAAGAATTGATCTTACAAACTGTAAGAAGCGGAATCTGGTGGTCAGACAAATGTCATCGTATCGCAATTGCGTAGATCGCCTTGTGTTCAGCTGTGCCCGTCCGAAGGTGTTTAGTTGTATCCACATTGTGTTCAGTTGTGCCCGTCTTGTGTTTAGTTGTGTCCGTCTTGTGTTTAGTTGCATCCATATTATGTTTAGTTATGCCCGTCTTGTGTTTAGTTGTGTCCGTCTTGTGTTTAGTTGCATCCATATTCTGTTTAGTTATGCCCGCCTTGTGTTTAGTTGTGTCCGTCTTGTGTTTAGTTGTGCCCGTCTTGTGTTTGGTTGTGTCCGTCTTGTGTTTAGTTGTGTCCATATTGTGTTCAGTTGTGCCCGTCTTGTGTTTAGTTGTGTCCGTCTTGTGTTTAGTTGCATCCATATTCTGTTTAGTTGTGTCCGTCTTGTGTTTAGTTGTGTCCGTCTTGTGTTTAGTTGTGTCCGTATTGTGTTTAGTTGTGCCCGTCTTGTGTTTAGTTGTGTCCGTCTTGTGTTTAGTTGTGTCCGTCTTGTGTTTAGTTGTGTCCGTCTTGTGTTTAGTTGCATCCATATTATGTTTAGTTATGCCCGTCTTGTGTTTAGTTGTGTCCGTCTTGTGTTTAGTTGCATCCATATTCTGTTTAGTTATGCCCGCCTTGTGTTTAGTTGTGTCCGTCTTGTGTTTAGTTGTGTCCGTCTTGTGTTTAGTTGTGTCCATATTGTGTTTAGTTGTGTCCATATTGTGTTCAGTTGTGACCGTCTTGTGTTTAGTCTTGTGTTTAGTTGTGTCCGTCTTGTGTTTAGTTGTGTCCATATTGTGTTTAGTTGTGTCCATATTGTGTTCAGTTGTGCCCGTCTTGTGTTTAGTTGTGTCCGTCTTGTGTTTAGTTGTGTCCATATTGTGTTCAGTTGTGCCCGTCTTGTGTTTAGTTGTGTCCGTCTTGTGTTTAGTTGTGTCCATCTTGTGTTTAGTTGTGTCCATCTTGTGTTTCTTGTGTCTTGTGTTTAGTTGTGTCCGTCTTGTGTTTAGTTGTGTCCGTCTTGTGTTTAGTTGTGTCCATATTGTGTTTCCGTCTTGTGTTTAGTTGTGCCCGTCTTGTGTTTGGTTGTGTCCGTCTTGTGTTTAGTTGTGTCCATATTGTGTTCAGTTGTGCCCGCCTTGTGTTTAGTTGTGTCCGTCTTGTGTTTAGTTGTGCCCGTCTTGTGTTTGGTTGTGTCCGTCTTGTGTTTAGTTGCATCCATATTGTGTTCAGTTGTGCCCGTTGTGCCCGTCTTGTGTTTAGTTGTGTTGCCCGTCTTGTGTTTAGTTGTGTCCATATTGTGTTTAGTTGTGCCCGTCTTGTGTTTAGTTATTGTGCCCGTCTTGTGTTTTGTTGTCCGTCCGCCTTGTGTTTAGTTTTTGCTGTGCCCGTCTTGTGTTTAGTTTGGTCCGTCTTGTGTTTGGTTGTATCTTGTGTTGTTGTTCCATTTGTGTTCAGTTGTGTCCGTCTTGTGTTTAGTTGTGTCCGTCTTGTGTTTAGTTGTGTCCGTCTTGTGTTTAGTTGTGTCCGTCTTGTGTTTAGTTGTGTCCGTCTTGTGTTTGGTTGTGTCCATATTGTGTTTAGTTGTGTCCGTCTTGTGTTTAGTTGTTGTCCGTCTTGTGTTTAGTTGTGTCCGTCTTGTGTTTGGTCTTGTGTTGTGTCCGTCTTGTGTTTGGTTGTGTCCGTCTTGTGTTTAGTTTGTGTCCGTCTTGTGTTTGGTTGTATCCATATTGTGTTTGGTTGTGTCCGTCTTGTGTTTGGTTGTGTCCGTCTTGTGTTTGGTTGTGTCCGTCTTGTGTTTGGTTGTGCCCGTCTTGTGTTTAGTTGTGTCCGTCTTGTGTTTGGTTGTGTCCGTCTTGTGTTTAGTTGCATCCATATTGTGTTCAGTTGTGTCCGTCTTGTGTTTAGTTGCATCCATATTGTGTTTGGTTGTCTTGTGTTTATCCATATTGTGTTCAGTTGTGTCCGTCTTGTGTTTGGTTGTATCCATATTGTGTTTTGTTGTGTCCGTCTTGTGTTTGGTTGTATCCATATTGTGTTTTGCTGTGTCCGTCTTGTGTTTGGTTGTATCCATATTGTGTTTTGCTGTGTCCGTCTTGTGTTTGGTTGTGTCTTCTTTATGTATATCTGTGTTATGTATACCCTTACACTGTAACCTCATGGAAGTCAGATGTAATTTTGTTTCGAAATTTAGTTCCTATGACTAGTTCTAGTCCCCAAAGTCTCATCAGGCGACCATCAAATGACTACTTCAAACCGATCTGCAGCCAAGTAACTCAAAGCACTAAATTTGCTTCCTCGTTAAGGATAAGAAAAAATGGACTATTCACAGCAAAGAGGTAGCACACTTCGTGTTGATGTATCTGTGGAATGAAAGAAGCCCCGATACCATAAAGAATCCCATCACTGAACGAATCGTTTAACTTCAAGTAGAGTTTCCCTGTACCCATCACCCAGATGAGCACGCCATTCGACCGTTTGACGCAAGCTCGGTCTCGAGGGTACGGTATCGTCTAAAGACGCAAGAGTTAAAGAGCAACACCGATCAAATCATTATAAATTATCTCATCTAACACAAACTTTGTACACCATTGGGTGATAAGGTAATATTTGTACAATGCTGAAAGGTACGGCTTGTTGTTTGTGGCTACTGACTCGAGAGATTTTCACGTTTTTGTCCACGTAGACACAGCATGAACTTTAAAAGTAAATGGTTTTCGATCTATGTGGAAGTCGGCGACGTTGAAGTCTGGAATTCTTCCTAGCGTGTTGACGTAAACCCATAATCTCCTCTATTTGAAACCGAGATGATGGGTGGGTGGGGACGCGACTCCAGAATTCAATTTAGCAGCGTTACTGTAAAGAAGCTCGGAGTCAACGGAGTAGGTGTCCTCAGAGGCTGACAATTGTCGGGCTATCAGACATGTGGATTTGGTAAACCAGTCTGAACAGTGGGGGTTTCTTGTGATGGTAGATAGAAGGCGCTATAGCACGCCTTCCGACCGGACATGTTCCTGCTGTAATGGCCACCCCCATCCACTAATGTCAAGAACAAATGCCAGCATTCCTTTGGTTGCTACCTATCAGAGAGAATAAAGAAATTCCATCTGGTAGCGAAATACAGCGAGTGAGGGATGGATAGAGTGACTGAGTGAGTGAGTGAAGGAGTGGGTGAAGGAGCGAAAGGCTGAGTGAGTAAAGAGTGATTGAGTGAGAATTTAGTTTTACGCCGCTTTTGACAATATTCTAGAATATCACGGCGGGGGACACCAGAAATGGGCTTCACACATTGTACCAATGTGTGGAATCGAACCCGGGTCTTCGGCGTGACGAGCGAACGTTTTAACCAGCTAGGCTACCCCACCGCCTCGAGTGCGTACAGAAGTGGTATGACTCCCCGACCCGACCTTCTTTGTACGCTGTTAATACTTGTAAAGCACACACACACTGGACACACACACAACATACACACACACACACACACAATAATACACACACACACACACACACACATTGTGTCACACACTTAGAACATGGACCTTACTTTGTTGTTTTTAAGAATTATATAATAATTATATATTTTATGACATTAGTAAAACACCTCATTGATACCAACAAAACTGTTGCTACTAATCACTACTGTTTTGGACTCGCTGTTTGCTTTCTTTTTAAGTATCGTAATCGGATATATGTACGTATACACGGCTGGTTTGCATGGACTGCTGAAGACCAATTCCTACCTGGATGTTTCTGGTATATGTCCAGCTACTTTCTGTGGGCATCTGCGGGGTTATATGTTCAAAAGGTTCTTTTTTATGTGTTGTTGTCTTTCATTGCAGACAGAAGTATTGAGAATTGATCTTGTTTCGAATTTATAACAACAGAAAGGGCGGGTTGTCCTGTAGTGATATTTAGGAAGGGTTGGGGCCCGGTCTCATGCTCTGATAGATGACTGCTCAATACTGTATCGGCATTAATGCCCATAACTTCGTACTACGAGCTGCCTCGAATACCACGACGCTAAAATAGCCACCAATCAAATCACTCTTCCGCGCGAGAGAAATTCTGTGCTCGGTTAGAGATAGATATAGCTACGTCAGTTCCTAAACAAGGCCATGGTCGGGAACCGGTCCAGGGTATGTAACTGACTTCAGAGATATATCATGGGACACTCGAGGATGAGACCACCATGTATGGGGTGATATTCGGGCAGGACTGGCCCCTTGAAGAGTCGTCAGGGTGGTGAGACATTATTTCAGAAAACAACTCCATCCATAAGAGTCTTGTGATGAATGTTCGCTGTTTAGAATATTCATAATTTCCGGTCTTGCAAACCCTCTGCAAAAATCACTTCAAACACTCCCGATCAATCCAGACGACCCCCTGACTTCGCCTGTTCAATTTCTCTCTCCTCTGCTATCTGGGAAACCAACCTTTGATAAAACAGCCTCCTCGCAACTTCAACCCTTGAGTACTGTAAACCCTTAATTTTATTCCTTATCTCAAACAGGAGGTCAATTTCCGAGCCAGTGCGGCCATTTTAGGAAATAATTAGAATTTCGATGATCTCTTGAAGCTGAAGGCGGGGTGCGGCGCCCCGTGTAGTTGTCATCTAAATTGGATTCCATCGTACCTTGGGTTGCCGTTCCCCTCGTACGAGGGGGACACGTGGCGGCTAATACTTAACTGAAAGACCGAGACATGTAATGAAAACACTTCCCCTACAACTTGGAAGAGGAGTTTAGAAAGAAAACTTTGTAAAAGTTTTATCTTCCGGTGACCTGGGACCGGAAGTGCGCGGTAATAAGTTCTTTGCATGCTGTGGTGGGTCAGCCTGGATGTTTTCAAGTGTGAAATATTCTCGTTTTGTTGAGGTTCTTCCTATCCAGACTGTGCTTCCGAGTCCGTGGCTGTTTGCTCTGTATCAATAATCAGGGTTTTCCTGCACAGAGATCAAATCACGTGTATCTTCAAGTTGGGATCATTATTCGCTTTTGTTGGGAATTAAACCCGAGTTCCCGGTGTGACGCTTTACCCTATAAGCTACCTTACCTCCCCAGTGGGTACTGATGATCATTGTAGAGTGGTAAGGGTGTGCTCTACCAGCTATATGGCGGCAGTCTGTAAATAATCAACTCTGGACCAGACAATCCAGTGATCAACAGCATGAGCATCGATCTGCGCAATTGGGAACCGATGACATGTGTCAACCAAGCCAGCGAGCCTGACCAGCCGATCCCGTTAGTCGCCTCTTACGACAAGCATGGGTTACTGAAGGTTCATTCTAACCCAGACCTTCACGGGTCAGCCTAACTGTGTACACTGAAGACATTACTTTAAGTTCTTTTGTTCAGGTGTCCCCCGTTACTGATTTTACCTGTGATTGACTGCTGGTTCTACAGCTCCTGTTGTTGGTTACGGTAAAATAACGTTAAGGGATATAATGGGATAGCAGCCGGGTAACATCTACAGGAGCTTTTAGCAATATTCCAGCATTATCACAGCAGGGGACACCAGCAATGGGCTTCACACATAGTACCCATGTGGGGAATAGAATTTGGGTCTTCGGCATGACGAGCGAACGCTTTAACCACTAGCCTACCCCATCGCGTTTTCAATAAAGTATAAATACATTGAATTTCTTTATTATTGTTGTATTTACTCGTGTCACTAGTGGAAAGACATCCATAGCCCTTTGGTCCTTGATGAATTCGGGTTTGGTGTTTGAACCTGAGAAGCCCGGCCCGTGATCATCAACCCATGGAAGCAAGGCTCAGATGCTTTCACGCACTGGTATGTTTTTGTATGGCCATTTAAGATAGCTGTACACCATTTTATGTCATGAGTTCAATAAATGATGAAACTCAGTGAAATTGAGGAATTCTTAACAAAATTTTACCCCGAAACGAACACATGCACGATATTTGCACATGCTTTCCAGCAATTTCATGCATGATCGTCGTGCAATTTATCTGCATAAAGTTTGCAGTTGGTTCCCCCCAAGTTAGTGGAGAATTTTATCTTCGATGTAACCACACACACACACGAACGCACGCACACACGCACACACGCACACACGCACGCACGCACACACACACCATATAGTGAGTGCTTTAAGTGAGTCTAAACTTTTTTTGGGTAGTATATGTGTAAAATCTCAATACTCATAGTACTGTAGTACTGATGCTGACCAATATTCAAACAAAGCCATAGTTATCACACATTTCGAATTATACCTCCCCTACTTCCCCCTATCCCCGCCACTCTCTCACACACCACATACTCCACCCACCACCTCTCTTCTGCTGGAATATGGCTAAAAGTGGTGTAAAACCATACTTACTCGTGCTAATAATGAACACTGATAGTAATGAGTTACTTCCCACTGGACTTGTGAAAACAGAATTATTTTTTTTTTAATTCAAACAGTGTATTCACTGAACACAGTTTACACGTTTAAATACGTTTCCGGGCTTGAATTGATCAATTCCTTTTCAAAGGTTGTCAGATAAGGCCAGTATACATGCACTCAACAGGTTTATTTACAATAAAATTAACTGACGTCAAAGGCAGGAATATAAAAGAATGATCAATGTCTTTAATGACTGTAAATCATGAACAAACTGCATGCACGTTCAATTTCTTAATGTGTGATGATATATGTGACTACATACGCGTTCGTTTATATAGCATATTGCTGAAGCATTAGTGCATAATGCCCCATATCAGTTTTGTTGTTTAAGACGCACGGATTTATCTTCCAGTAAAGATTGGGGTTAGAATTAATCTTCAGTAACCCATGCATGTCGTAAGAGGAGACTAACGGGATCGGGTGGTTTGGTTGGCTGGTCTGGTTGACACATCGTTTCCCAGTTGCGTAGATCTATGATCATCCAGTCTCGATTATTTACAGTGAGTAGCACCGCTTTTAGCAATATTTCCTCAATATCACGGCGGGTGACAACAGAAATGGGCTCACATAATGTACCCATGTGGGGAATCGAACCCGGGTCTTTGGTGTGACGAGCCAACGCTTTAACCACTAGGCTACCCTACCGCCCCGATTATTTACAG